TTGAACAGTAAGATTCATGTGTTTTCTACTTCCCCAGAAGTCTTCGACAGAATGCCCATAATTTCCGCAAAGCTGAGTGTGCGTGTGACAGGTGCTGACAAGGCTGGAAAAGTAGGTGCCTCTTCGATTTCTGAGATCGGCCCTCGTGGTCTCTGGGGGAGCCCAGCTTTTGAGAAAGCGAGCGCCTCTTCGATTTCTGAGATCGGCCTTCGTGGTCTTTGAGCAGCCCAACTTTTGAGAAAGCAAACGCCTCTTCGATTTCTGAGATCAACCCTCGTGATCTCTAAGCAGCCCAGCTTTTGAGAAAGCAAACGCCTCTTCGATTTCTGAGCAGGCGCCTCTTCGATTTCTGAAGCTCCGTCGAGTGCAGATTTTTATAGGGGCTGGCATTAAGTTCCAAAGCACACTTGAATCTCCACCAGTAGAAGCTTCATTCTTGCACTTCTAAGATCTTGATTTGTCCGACCTCTTCTCTCTTCAACACCTTTGAAAATGTCTGGCCCCTCCGACCGTCGTTTTGACTTGAACCTTGTTGAAGAGGCAGCCCCGCCTTCTCCAGACAACATATGGCGCCCATCCTTCGTCTCCCCTACTGGTCCTCTTACCGTTGGGGATTCCGTGATGAAGAATGATATGACCGCTGCGGTGGTGGCCAGGAACCTTCTCACTCCCAAAGATAACAGACTACTTTCCAAACGGTCTGATGAGTTAGCTGTTAAGGATTCGCTGGCTCTCAGTGTTCAGTGTGCAGGTTCTGTGTCTAATATGGCCCAACGCCTATTTGCTCGAACCCGCCAAGTTGAATCATTGGCGGCTGAAGTGATGAGTCTCAAACAGGAGATTAGAGGGCTCAAGCATGAGAATAAACAGTTGCACCGGCTCGCACATGACTATGCTACAAACATGAAGAGGAAGCTTGACCAGATGAAGGAAACTGATGGTCAGGTTTTACTTGATCATCAGAGATTTGTGGGTTTGTTCCAAAGGCATTTATTGCCTTCGTCTTCTGGGGCTGTACCGCGTAATGAAGCTCCAAATGATCAACCTCTGATGCCTCCTCCTTCTAGGGTTCTGTCCAGTACTGAGGCTCCAAATGATCCCCCTCCGGTGCCTTCTCTTTCTGGGGCTCTACCGACTGCTGAGACTTCTCCTAAGCAACCTTTGTGAAGGCTCCCTCTTGTGTGTTTATTTTGACTCATGTATATGTACATATTTGTAGCTTATCGGGGATATCAATAAATAAGCTTTCCTTCATTTCAACGTATTGTGTTAAATACACCAAAGCCTTCTTCGCTAAGTTCTTTGAATTTTCTTTTGTTGAAGCTTGTATGTTGAAGCTTTCTGAGTGGAGCATGTAGGTTGGGGTAGTGTTCCCTTAATTTCCCGAGTGAGGAAAACTTCTCGGTTGGAGACTTGGAAAATCCAAGTCACTGAGTGGGATCGGCTATATGAATCTTAGAACGCCATTGTGCTCGATCCTGTGTCATGTCCTTCGTTAGATCCAAGTACTCTAAGTCTTTTCTTAGAGTCTCTTCCAAAGTTTTCCTAGGTCTTCCTCTACCCCTTCGGCCCTGAACCTCTGTCCCATAGTCGCATCTTCTAATCGGAGCGTCAGTAGGCCTTCTTTGCACATGTCCAAACCACCGTAACCGATTTTCTCTCATCTTTCCTTCAATTTCGGCTACTCCTACTTTACCCCGGATATCCTCATTCCTAATCTTATCCTTTCTCGTGTGCCCACACATCCAACGAAGCATCCTCATCTCCGCTACACCCATTTTGTGTACGTGTTGATGTTTCACCGCCCAACATTCTGTGCCATACAGCATCGCCGGCCTTATTGCCGTCCTATAAAATTTTCCCTTGAGCTTCAGTGGCATACGGCGGTCACACAACACGCCGGATGCACTCTTCCACTTCATCCATCCAGCTTGTATTCTATGGTTGAGATCTCCATCTAATTCTCCGTTCTTTTGCAAGATAGATCCTAGGTAACGAAAACGGTCGCTCTTTGGTATTTCTTGATCTCCGATCCTCACCCCTAACTCGTTTTGGCCTCCATTTGCACTGAACTTGCACTCCATATATTCTGTCTTTGATCGGCTTAGGCGAAGACCTTTAGATTCCAACACTTCTCTCCAAAGGTTAAGCTTTGCATTTACCCCTTCCTGAGTTTCATCTATCAACACTATATCGTCTGCGAAAAGCATACACCAAGGAATATCATCTTGAATATGTCCTGTTAACTCATCCATTACCAACGCAAAAAGGTAAGGACTTAAGGATGAGCCTTGATGTAATCCTACAGTTATGGGAAAGCTTTCGGTTTGTCCTTCATGAGTTCTTACGGCAGTCTTTGCTCCTTCATACATATCCTTTATAGCTTGGATATATGCTACTCGTACTCCTTTCTTCTCTAAAATCCTCCAAAGAATGTCTCTTGGGACCCTATCATACGCTTTTTCCAAATCTATAAAGACCATGTGTAAATCCTTTTTCCCATCTCTATATCTTTCCATCAATCTTCGTAAGAGATAGATTGCCTCCATGGTTGAGCGCCCTGGCATGAACCCGAATTGGTTGTCCGAAACCCGTGTCTCTTGCCTCAATCTATGCTCAATGACTCTCTCCCAGAGCTTCATTGTATGACTCATTAGCTTAATACCCCTATAGTTCATGCAATTTTGTACGTCGCCCTTATTCTTGTAGATAGGCACCAAAGTGCTCGTTCGCCACTCATTTGGCATCTTCTTCGTTTTCAAAATCCTATTGAAAAGGTCAGTGAGCCATGTTATACCTGTCTCTCCCAAAAGTTTCCACACTTCGATTGGTATATATCGTCTGGGCCTATTGCTTTTTTATGCTTCATCTTCTTCAAAGCTACAACCACTTCTTCCTTCCGGATTCGACGATAAAAAGAGTAGTTTCTACACTCTTCTGAGTTACTCAACTCCCCTAAAGAAGCACTCATTTCATGTCCTTCATTGAAAAGATTATGAAAATAACCTCTCCATCTGTCTTTAACCGCGTTCTCTGTAGCAAGAACCTTTCCATCCTCATCCTTGATGCACCTCACTTGGTTTAGGTCCCTTGTCTTCTTTTCCCTTGCTCTAGATAGTTTATAGATATCCAACTCTCCTTCTTTGGTATCTAGTCGTTTATACATATCGTCGTAAGCCGCTAACTTAGCTTCTCTGACAGCTTTCTTCGCCTCTTGCTTCGCTTTTCTATACCTTTCACCATTTTCATCGGTCCTCTCCTTGTATAAGGCTTTACAACATTCCTTCTTAGCCTTCACCTTTGTTTGTACCTCCTCATTCCACCACCAAGATTCCTTTTGGTGTGGGGCAAAGCCCTTGGACTCTCCTAATACCTCTTTTGCTACTTTTCGGATACAACTAGCCATGGAATCCCACATTTGGCTAGCTTCCCCCTCTCTATCCCACACACATTGGGTGATTACCTTCTCTTTGAAAATGGACTTGTTTTTCTTCTTTTAGATTCCACCATCTAGTCCTTGGGCACTTCCAAGTCTTGTTCTTTTGTCTTACTCTTTTGATATGTACATCCATCACCAACAAGCGATGTTGATTAGCCACGCTCTCTCCTGGTATAACTTTGCAATCCTTACAAGTTATACGATCCCCTTTCCTCATTAGAAGAAAATCTATTTGTGTTTTTGACGACCCACTCTTGTAGGTGATCACATGTTCTTCTCTCTTCTTAAAGAAGGTGTTGGCTAAGAAGAGATCATATATGCCATTGCAAAATCCAAGATAGCTTCCCCATCCTCGTTTCTCTCCCCAAAACCATGGCCACCATGAAAACCTCCATAGTTGCCTGTCTCCCTGCCCACGTGTCCATTTAAATCTCCTCCTATAAAATAACTTCTCCGTCTGAGCAATTCCTTGCACCAAGTCTCCAAAGATCTTCCCAAAATTTCTCCTTCGAACTCGTATCCAACCCTACTTGAGGTGCGTACGCACTAATCACATTGATAAGTTCTTGTCCTATTACAATCTTGATTGCCATGATTCTATCTCCTACCCTCTTGACATCTACAACATCTTGTACCAAGGTCTTGTCCACGATGATGCCAACACCGTTTCTCGTTCTATTTGTGCCCGAATACCAAAGTTTAAACCCTGAGTTTTCTAGATCCTTTGCCTTACTACCAACCCACTTAGTTTCTTGTAGGCACATAATATTTATCCTTCTCCTCACCATAACTTCCACTACTTCCATAGATTTTCCCGTTAAGGTTCCTATATTCCACGTTCCTAAACGCATTTTGCTCTCTTGAACTCTACCCTTCTGTCCTAGCTTCTTCACCCTCCCCCGTCTAATAGGATCAAAGTACTTCTTTTGTGTGTCCCGGGTAAAGTTGATAGGAGCATATGCTCCCAAACAACTTTGAGTGGAGTCGTTCGAAAAGAAGTTTCTATGGCCCCCTTGCTCATTTAACACTGCATCCGGGTGCCGATGGAGATACAGCGACCCTTGCTCACTTATCACTGTGCTCGGGCCACACAGCGCGCCACTTACGGGTGACGCCCTAGCTTTAGCGCGATTTTGTTCTGGATTCATTTTCATAAGGATTCGACGTGATCATGGAGTGCCGGCTGTCGACTACCTGACGCCCTCCCCCTCCTCCTTTATCCGGGCTTGGGGCCGGCCATGTAAGACATGGGCGGAGTTAAAATTCTATAATTAAATACATTAAAAAAATTATTTTTCTTTCTTAATTTCTTCTCAATGAAATTCAGATAAAATGATTGATGTATAGATACATTTTACAGCATGTCATCTATAGATAATCATCCAACATGTTAAGAGCTAAGTTTGATGTTGCATGCTAAATATGGATAAAACTCAAATGATAACCACCGTTGGCTTCCTAAAAATGTTCCGCACCATCGAAAGAATGGCTGGCGTTGAGATTTTGATAGCTATCCCACACATTAATCGACCCTCTATAAAACGTCAAACACAATTATGTTGTATCTGTCACAACTACTCTAATATTCTCGGTCGATCTTCAACCTTTCTCTCACTAAAACGTAGAGAGGGAAAGAAGACCTTTCTCGATCGAAATCAAAGAAATTAACATGGGTAATTGTGCTAGTGAACCAAAGACCAAGGGTGATGATGCTGCTGCAGTCCCAGTACCCGAGCCCAGGAAGGAGGAATCGGTTCAGGCCAAGGATGTGAATGCTGAGCAGCTGCAGGAAGAAAACAAGGATGAACAAAATAACGATGGTGGTCATAACAAGCAACCCTCTCTTGGGGCCTTGCTCAAGGAGGTATACAGTAATAATTCTTTTAATTTCTTTAATTTAATTATAGGCCAATTAAGATGAATTTCCTATATAGTTATATGGAATATGGACGCAGAGATGCATGCATGTATTCGACGTATATATCACCATTTGATTTAGCGGCTTGCGTAGGTTTTGAGTCCTAACTTCAAATTTCATCGACGTCAATTATTGAATCAAACATAACAAAACTTGCATATGTTTTGGACATGTTAGATACATTTTTACATAATTTCCTATGTTAGTTTATAAGATTTGTATGCTTACAATTACAAATTCAGTTAAGTTTCCCTCACAAGTATTTCATTCATTCCAATTTCATATTCCCACATCTCTTTTCGCAATTTTATGGATGTACTTATTATTGATACATCCCTTAATCTATGAACTCAGGAAGAAGAGAAGACAGCTGAAGTTGCGGCAAAGCTAGAAGAAGAGAAGACAGCTGAAGTTGCGGCAAAGCTAGAAGAAGAGAAGACAGCTGAAGTTGCAACAAAGCTAAAAGAAGAGAAGACAGCTGAAGTTGCGGCAAAGCTAGAAGAAGCGGAAGAAAAGACAAAGGCCATTGAGAAGAAAGAGGAGATGGCAGTTGAGCTCGAGAAAGCACCTGAGGCAGCAGCAGCAGCAGCTGTAGTTACCCAAGAAGACAAGAAATCTGCTATTGAGGAGATCAAGAAACCCCAAGAGGTGAAGGAGACAAAAGCAGAAGAGATCAAGGAGACAAAAGCAGAAGAGACCAAGGAAACAAACCCAGAAAAGATCAAGGAGACAAATCCTGAAGTGAAGGACCAAATTTGAAATTATACCTGCTTATAAGGGAGTGACTGTGGGCTTGTAACTTGAACATTATTTACAACTTTGTGTTTCCAATTTATTGAAATGGATTATAAGGTTATAGGTTGTAGCTATCACTATAGCTAGTCATGGGTTAGAGTGATGGCTACAACCTTACCTCTTACCCTTCCCTTGTCAATCATTCTCACCTCATCAACTTTCTCCTTAATTTTAGGGTTACTTTTCTTGTAATTTGGATTTAAGGTGTGTCCTGGCTTTTAGGGCTTAAATCATGGAGTTGTTGTAGTTGTTACAAACAAGGATGGTATGTCCTTTTTCCATAGGGTTGTTGCCGGTCACCTTGGCTCTCTATATATAAGAGCAGTTCCACCCCTAACACAAATACGCCAGCACCCAGTGCCTTTATCCACTCAGTGAATAGTGATAGACCCCAATGAACAGTAATATGTCAAATGCATCTCCACCCCAAAAACTAAATAGCCAAGTCAATTTTATTAAAATATTATTATTTTTTATTATAAAATAATAATTTAATTTTTAATTCTTCTTCCCACTTTTCTCAAAAGGGTCTCCTAGACTCCTTCTTTTTCTTCCCTGATATACACAAGCCCTTGTTTATATGTCAATTGGGTTTCAAATTTCAAATTCCATCCACTTTGTTTCTCTGCAAAAAAATCAACTTCCATTGACAAAGGCCATTGAATCTTTAATGGGACATCATCACTGTTGCAGTAGAGAAGCCCCCTCCTCATACCCAGTTTTGGTTTTCTTGGCGGTGGTCGTTGTGCTTCTTCTTTTGTCGTCTTTGATCTCCCTCCGCCCCGGAATCAACCTCAGCCCCGAGGAGCTCTGCACCAAGAACCCAGAATCAACTTCAGCTGCGAGGAGCTCTGCACCAAGATCTCTCTGCGACGTGTTGATCGAGCGGGAGGTTGATGACTCGGCTGACATCAGATGACCCAGCTGAAGTCAGATGGCCCGACATGTGGGTCTGTCGATTTTTGGCCGGTCTCTTGCCTAGCTTGGGCTGGTTGTCAGTCAAAATGCTGGGATAGAGTGGATAGCCTGGGTGCCGGGCTAGTTTTTTGGCTGTGTGCTGGCCTATCAGTTCCCCGGTGGAACTGCTCTAAGAGCTTCCTTACTAAATCTCATACTATGATCAATATACAAATTCTGAAATTCAACACAAATGTTTTGAAGAGAATTTAAACTCTTGGGAATTGTGGTTGTCAAAGTCAGAGTCTCCTTTCTCTCTAAATAAGTTTGGATTGATAGCAATGTTCTAAATTTCGTTCGCCCCATTTTTTGAACACTAATTGATAGTATATTGCACATATATATGCTTGCGAGTTCGGAGCATTTTCATATTTTGGCCTATTTATGAAATTTTCCTAAAAGTCAACAGCTTACTATCTGTATCACTTCACCTCTCACCGTCTAAGTCCCACCCCTAAACGCTGGTACACACCGTCTTAGACCATGGCAAACCAATTTTTCAGCAACCCTTTTTTAAAGATAAACCTCGATAGCAACCTTTCAGCCTGGGTTGGTGGTTGGCGGGAAGGGGGAGAGAGAGAGAGAGAGAGAGAGGTGGTGTTGGGGACCAAATTGGTTAAATTTCACAATCACCAAACTAGATTTTAACCTAAAACATAGTGACCAAAATTTTTTTAATCCATTTTTTAAATAATAATAAAATAAGACCACACTATTCACACACTTATTTTTACTCTTACACACTAGTTAATTTTTTGTCATTAATCTTATTTAATTCATTCTATCCGACAATCGAAATTTGAGAAAAATATGTGAGAAGTAAAAATGTGTGGAGATAGCATTCCTTAAAAAATAAGAAATCTTCATCAGTTTTCTGCGAATCTCTTGTTCCACAGTATTGATATTTTGATATCAAAATGAAAAAAGGAATGATATTTGACAGGTCAACCCAGGTAGGGAATGGTAATTAATCCATAAAGAGACCAAAAAAAAAAAGGAAAGATATTTGACAGGTCAACCCAGGTAGGGAATGGTAATTAATCCGTAAAGAAAAAACAAAAAAGGAAAGACATATCCAAGCAAGTGAACTATTACTTTCTGCCAATAAAGTATTGGATTTGAATCGCAAAATTTTAGGTCTTAGAAAGAAGGGTGAATGTGGTCCTAAATTGGAGCCCTATATATACACACAAACATAACCCGAACCCTAGGCCGTAATCTTATCATAATCATATCCTATATTTTCATCTCTTTTATTCTTCCTCTACATCTTGTCCCTCTTCTTCATGTTGTTGGTGGTGTAAAAATGGGGAACAGTATGGGAAATTGTGGCTGCGCCGATGGGAAGGATGCCGTGAAAGAAGGTCCTACGCCATTGCCAAAGCAACGAGATCACGTCGATGCCCCTTCGACGACCAAAGTGGAGGATGATGCTGTGGCTCTCGCAGGCCCTGATAAGTCTATCGGGACATTGCTCAAGGCGGTAAGCATGATCGTATAATTTTATTCGTACTGAGTTCTTCTTTTACTTGAAATTCATTTGTTACTGTTTATTGTTGGGTTTATCCATGTTTGAACAATTAAGAACTTTTTCAATTTGTTTTATCAACACTTTGATTTTGGATTCATATAATTGATCTTATTTAGTGGAATAAGACTTCTGTTGTGTTAATTATCTTTATGATCACATTCAGCGCAGTAATATGCAAAATAGAATTCGTACTAACCTCCAGCCATGATCGTCCAACAGCAGGTTTCCAGCGGCACAGCGAAATCGAAAGCTCCTGTATCTCTAGTCTAAGTGATCTTCTAGCCTATTGCCACTTGGGTACCTTTCTCAGATGGAATGCAAGGCTTTATATAGGCTAGGCTAGGGACCCCTTAATCTCACGTGGAAACAAACCGACTCCACTAATCCCTACCATCAAGGGATTCGCTGAGTAAAAATCTCTCTTCTTATCTGTCAACTAGAGTCATGCTCTTAGTGAAATGTAGTCAACTAGAGTCATGCTTGGAGTGGGTTGTTTGACTAATTCATATCTTAAGTAATTACCAATATCAGTAACTAAATATTAATGACTAATATGTGGGCCACCTTAAGTGAAAATATTTGAACGTTGCTAACATTCTCCCACTTGGTCCACGTATTAACATCAAGAATGATATAGACCTGAATAGATAGATAGCTCGATCAAAACTTCCTAGACAAATAATGACAAGAAACATAACCCAAATAGAACATCTCAAACATGAATCATGGTGGTCAAGACTCAAAACCAAGTCATTCCCTTCCATGTATTACAATATTTGAAACTCTCTGTTTGAGTCCTACATGAACAACTTTAACTTGTTATTCTCGGTCCTTCTTTATCAATTACATTGAATTGAAAAACTTTATTGTGCACAAAAATAAAATGCTTTATTGAATTCAAAATACTTAAATACAAAGCTCAACAATTAATTACAAAGATGATTCAATGATTCCCATATTACCCACATGACTCTTATAAAAATTTGTCGGCAAACCTTTAGTCATGGGGTCTGCTATCATTTGTTGAGTGCTTATATGTTCAATAGAAATTTCACCATTTCTCACATGTCTTCTGACAACCAAATATTTGATGTCGATATGCTTATTGTGGCTTCCACTTTTATTGTTCTTTGCGAAACAAACTGCAGCCATATTATCATAATAAATCTTCAAAGGCCTTGCAATACTATTGACAATCTTTAAACCTGTGATAAAATTCCTTAACCAATTCGCATGCGCAGAAGCTTAAAAAACAGCAATGTATTCTGCTTCCATGGTAGACGAAGCAACTAAAGTTTGCTTGGCGCTTCTCCAAGACACAGCTCCTCCAGCAAGGAGATAGATGTATCCTAAAGTAGACATTCTTGAGTCTACACAACCAACGAAGTCCGAGTCTGAATAACCAACTACTTCTAAAAGGTCAAAGTGTTTGTACGTAAGCCTATATTCCTTGGTTCCTTGTAAATATCTTATGACTTTCTTAGCAGCCTTCCAATGCTCCAAGCCTGGATTACTTTGGTATCTACCCAACATTCCAACTGCAAATCCTATATCAAGTCTTGTACACACTTGTGCATACATTAGACTGCCAACAGCTGAAGCATAGGGTATATTCCTCATTTGTTCTAGCTCCAAGTCATTCCTTGGACACTGATTAAGACTGAACTTATCTCCTTTGACAATGGGTGCAATACTAGGCGAACAATCTTTCATCTTGAATCTTTCCAAAACCCTTTCAATGTAGGGCTTTTAAGATAGGCTTAGTGTCTGTAGAGTTCTATTTCTGTAAATCTCTATGCCAATGACATAAGAGGCTTCACCCATATCCTTCATATCAAAATTTTGTGAAAGAAAATTTTTCGTCTGATGCATTAAACCCAAGTCACTGCTTGCAAGTAAAATATCATCCACATACAAAACTAAAATTATAAATTTACTCCCACTTATTTTAAGTTATACACATTCATCGACAATATTAGCCTTAAAACCATAAGAGGTAATTACATTGTCAAACTTTAAATACCATTGGCGGGAAGCCTGTTTTAGTCCGTATATGGATTTTCTTAATTTGCAAACTAAATGACTTTTCTTTTTGTCAAAGAAACATTCAGGCTGTTTCATGTATACCTCTTCTTCAAGATCTCCTTCAGGAATGCCGTTTTTACATCCATTTGATGTAACTCTAAATCAAAATGAGCTACTAAAGCCATCACTATTCTAAATGAATCTTTCTTTGAAATCGGAGAGAAGGTCTCATGGTAATCAATGCCTTCCTTTTGAGTGAAACACATAGCTACAAGTCTCGCCTTATATCGTTCGATACTACCTGATGCATTTCTTTTGGTCTTATAGACCCATTTGCATCCAATAGTTGAATGCCCACTAGGTAGTTCAACGACCTCCTAGACTTGATTTTTAGCCATAGATTCCATTTCTTCTTGCATGGCATTATACCAAAGATTAGAATTTGGTCCATTCATGGCTTGGGAAAACGAGCAGGGATCATTTAGTGGTCCAACATCATAGTCAGACTCTTGTAGGAATACAACATAATCGCTAGAAATGGCAGGCTTCTTTATTTTTGTAGATTTCCTTATAACTACTCCCTGATCTTCAATTTGTTCATTTTAAGGAGTAAGTTCTTCATGAGCTTGTTCTTCATGGAGTGGTTCCACTTGAACGGGTTGTATTT